ATATATATATATATATATATATATATATATATATATATATATATATATATATATATATATATATATATATATATATGTGCATTGTATGAGAAGAAAATAGGAGTGATGGATGGAGAACCTTTTGCATATAGTTTCTTTTGGCTTTGTTATATACTTTGTGGTGAGGGAAACTTCTAATAACTGGGTGGGAGTTTTATTGGGATACTTCTCCAGTGATTACAAGTTGACAACAATGATGAATAATGTTTCAACTGTCCTTGCCCAAACCTGTTGGTGTACATGGAGCAACAGAAGCTCTGCATCAGCCTTGCCTCCTCTCTACTTTGCATTCAGTGTTTGAACTTGTGCAAGATATGAATCTGAGGTAACACCTTCTGCATGTGAAGTGTGATGGATATATCCTCTTCGATTGTGGAAATCTTGTTTAACCGATGATCACTTTTCAAAGCTCACCTTTCCAGGAGCAGCTTATGATCCTTCTACTTGTTCTGTAGGTCTTTCAGTTTCGAGACACTACGAAATCGTATTAACTCAGTTAATGTCATAGAAGACTATTTATATATAGATAGATACAGAGCTGAATCTTATGCTCGAAGAGACCCTAAAACCATGTTAAGTATAAATCTTTTAATACCTTCAAATAGAGACGATGTTAAGTACGTAGGAAGAACATTAATGATGACTAATTATAGATTACCTCATATAATTAACTATTCTTATCATCTCGATCTTTATAGTTATGAAAACAATATATCTAAATTCATTTATCTTAACATTGTCATTTTTATTAATGAAAATATAAAAATAAAGAATATGAAGATAATTTTAATATTTTAATTAGTGATAGCAAATGACGTTGGTGATGACAAATGACATTAGTCATGATATCTATGCTAGTGTAATTATTGAACGATGTCGTTTTACATCTGTGTCGACGCTAATATAAATATCGAGAGGTCCTTTCATTGCTTTGCATTTGCGTCAATGTCGACGCAAATGCAAAACGACTCTCACCCTTCACTGTTGTTCCCATCCATAATAATTATGCCACCTGTAGCCCCCTAATGACATCATCGTCCGTCGTCATTGATATTATCCTTGATCACCAACTGAAAAATTAAAATTATCTTTTTTATCTTTCGTTTTTATATTTCTGTTAGTAAAACCAACATCATCAAGATAAATAAATCTAGATGTTTTACTTTAAAAGTATTCTAACTTTTTAAAGTGTAAGAACCGAAATACTAAAAGCAGCTAATATATAATTATCCCATTTAAAGAAAGATGTTAAACCCTGCATCTCTGGTTTCAAGTTCTCTCGGTTAGCAAAAACCATCAAAGAATCAGATAAGCCATCAAAATTAATATAAACAGAAGATTCAGATACTACACATAGCAATTCTAGATCAAAGAAAAAATGAATAATCGAAAACATTAACATAAATCAGGTGCAGTGAAAAAAGAGTTCAAACATCAAACATGTGCCAACCCAAGCCAAATATCCTTGGCTTTTAGGTTCTCTTGGTACATAAGAATCATAAAAGAATCAGATAAACATTTTGCAGCACAAACGAACCAGGATCTTAAATGAAACACATTTAATTGGTGATTTGGTTCAAAACCAGTCACTCGAGCATGCATGACAGCAGATGTTTAAGATCATCAAGCAACCAATAACCTATGGGAGAACAAGCACTACTGGTTGATATGAACCAGAATTCAACTTGGCAATGGTGCCAGTCTCTTCAGTGCAGAAGTATACATTTCAACCAGATATTGCTTAATGCTCCAAATGCCATTCCCACCTGGATGGGAAGTTGATGCAATACTAACAAATCTGACACTAACAGTTGCAGCAGATGTTTAAGGTCATCATGCATGCCACAAGATAGTTTCAGTTATGCTTCATGCATGCCATCCCCTGCTAATACTATCATGCACATGAATAATCGTTCACCTATTCAAACAGTAAGTTTTAGTTCCAACCTTTTCTGTGGCAATAAAGTCCAGTTTTATAGTATAAGTATCACAAAAAAGAGGAAGAAACTGACAGAAGAAAAAAAGGGGAAATAATCAGATAGACTACAAAAATCTTTAACATTGCAACCTCAATGATTTTGATGTTTGAGATGATCATTTGCTGGACTGGCCGGAGGCAGCTTCCTGCTCAGATCCATGACGTTTTCCTGATCGGGTCCAGCCTCATATCTATCATTTCTGCTGCTGACTGGCCTCATCTGATTCCTGTTTGCAGCCTGACTTTTCAGTATAGTTGGTGAAGGTGGATGTAGGAAAGCTGGAACATGACCAGGACAATTGGCTTGACCAGTTCGAGCCATTAACCCAATACAATAGAGAACAATATTCCCTACAAGAAGTATGTGCTATGTGCAATCTATCATATTCCACACAGCAATCCCATGTTTCATCTTCATATGAGTAAACAAATGAGCATCTACTCCATATAACTACTATTACATGCATCTTTAACCAAGTTGGTGAAGCAATATTTTCATCCATACTGGAGACATAAGAGGGGAAGAAACAAAACCAGTACTTAGACCCATAGCTCCTCCTTGCTTAGTCTACTCATCTTATCAGAGTAGTATCAGTGGAAGACAGTTGTTCTTGGACCATCGCCCTCACTGCACATTATCATTGTAAAATATATTACAAAATTTTTCCATGTCAAAGACAAGCAAATTTAGCATGTAGAAAAGTATGTCATCATGCTTCAGAATTAACCGGGCATTTAAGACCAACATCTGCCGAAGCAGCCATGACCAATTTAGCTTGCATCAAGGTTGATAAATTTTACATTATGGTGAATGTATTTCTAAATTTAGTAGTTACGAGCTATAATTATTAAGGAAGCTTGAAGAAAGAGTAGAAATTAAGATGTTGTTTAGTTATAAATTCAGCAAAGAACATTTCAGGAAGGGAGCACTGGAATATGGTTAAAGATCTCAATGTCTTATCCATGTCACACATCATCAAATCTATATAAGACAAACAAAATTAAAGCTTTTGTTGTATCAAGTCAACACATAAGTACCTCAAAAACTTGACAAACAATTTCATCCATGCTACAAAGGGTTAGGATTCTGGATTTGTCTCTCTGATTCTTGCTGCCTATCATTTTCAGCTTCAGAAAGGTTTCTAGATTCTTGCTGCTGCCTGCTATCATTTTGTTGTTGTGCCAAGTGTACATGTCGCCTATGCCTCCATCTTAGAAACTCAACAATCAAAGATTTCATACTGATTGCAATCCCAAACCCAGTGAATGAGGAAAGTAAGACTGAAATAACAGGGCTTACTCTTAGCTGCATAATTAACAAGAAGAACCAATTTTCATCTTCAGTTGTCAAAAGTGAAACCAAATATCTTGGCAGCCAAATTCATCTGAGAAAGTAATCTTACCACATTATAGAAGATATGAGCAAAGAGGATTACGATTGCAAATTGGAAAGATGCATAAGCCCAAATGTAGCTCTTGGTAACTGTAAATAATAACTGTCAATAATGTTTTGACATAGAGCTAAATCCATGAAAACTAGTGTGTAATGCATTACTAATGATACAATAAAATCCAAATACTGTAGACACAAAAGCTAATATAAGAAATATAAATAACAGGTGAAACATAAAAGGAAAGCTAAATGACAAAACCCATATGAACATGAAGAATGATATGTTACCCATTATTGAAGCTATCATGGAAGAGAGGAGACCCAGAACACAAGAAAAAGGCAAAGATACAGCAAGAGCACGCGAAGCCATTTCAGTAACCTGTTTGATTTAAAAGTGTTGGTTTGAATCATATGGTAAAAGCAAGTTCATAAAACTAAATTGAACTAGTGCTTTACAGGACTAAGTCTTACTAAAAGTTGCTCCAAGAAGCAGAAATAGGCAAGCATGCTGACCATGACAAGCACAGGGAGATCCTGCCATACCCTGTCAGATGGTGAAGAAAGATGAATTATAGCTTAGAAGAGTAACATCTAATAAGTTAAATTGACTTCTGTGCATTATAGAATTGCATTCTTTTAATGTACGAAATGCAGGTCTCAAGTGGTTTTGGTATTATTTTCATACAAAATTTGCACATAAGATTGGTACGCTAACTACTGCTTTATCTCACATCATGTCAAATATTGGTATTGTGTGAGCAATATCTTCTTTACCATTCATGAGAGAGAGTCTTCAAGTTTGATACAACTTTGTGGCCATCATCTTTGGCTCTCCATCACAAACTGGAACTAAAATGCCAGGTTCTTATTTGACACCCATTATGATAGCATGGGCAGATATGATTAATTTCATGTGACAACAAATGCCACAGAAATATTACTTGTTTGCATAGACAACATGAGAAAGTTGTCATCCCAAGGTTCAATGCATTATAAATCATTGCTACAATCCATATGCAATTTTCCAACTCCCATTGCCCAGCTTAATCTAAGAGACTACAGCTAGAAGTCAGTTAAAATAGGCTTGATTCCATTCTAGAAATCCAAATAGCTAAAAAGAAACCAAGATGACTACTAGTTTGCATGTTTATAGCATTTCCTATGTGGAGATTCAACAAAATTAGCACTACCATACCTAGTCCATGTAACTTTGAGAAGAACAACATGACAGCAACCTTACGATTTAAAATGGTCTATAATTATAATCATTAACTAATACAACTGAATCTTATCCTAAATGTGAAGATGTTTAAGTCCAAAGACTCACAATGAGGTTTTGACAGAAGAAAGATTCAAACTTGATAAGAGATTCGGTTACAAAGCAATTGCAAAGCACAGATGCAAGTGTTGGGTTCAGGAAGTACATGGTTGAGCAGAATCAAGAAATCAGTTACGATCC